GTATCTGTACACTTTGGTGGTCGCGGTTGTGGTTTAGTAATACGTACAGTTTCTGATGTATCTGTTGTTGTGGTTCGTCGTGGTTCATGTTTAGGCATACGTACCATTAGTCGTTGAAGTAGTGGAGACTGCAGTGTTGAAGCCGTATCATTATTATTATTATTTTCTTCAGATTCGGAATCATTCTCACGTCTGCGTTTATGTGAGGAACTCGCACTTCCAAGAATTTCCGCCGATGCCGCATCTCCATTAGAGCGCAGAAGTTCCGTTTTGAGTGCGTGTCTCTTTGCATACATGCATACATGCCTCCCACCAGTCGGACCATTCTTCGTACTACTTTTATTATTATTATTATTATTATTATTATTATTATTATTATTATTATTATTATTATTGCTGCTGTTGCTATTGCTGTCACTTCCCCCTTGTTCCTCTTCTCCAGCAGATCTCTCTTCATTTCCCTCTTCAGAACCGGAGTGGACGGCGTTTTTAATACGCGCGAGCACATCTGCGAATCCAACGGACTGCGCACTCCACGCCTGCTGCACACCGCCATCGTAGCCAATACCCGTTACACTGTCCTTCCGCTGCACCCGCACGTGTGTAGTGACTCCGCTGCTCTCCGTGCCGAGTCCACGGCCCTCTTCCCATCCAGCACGCTCCAGTAATGTACGGCCAAAGTTTTTCTCAGACTTCGCCCAGCGAGTACCATTCGGATCGTCGCACATTGCACTTTCTTTTCTTTTTTTTCTTGGTTTATTCGTTACGTATGTATATATATATATGTATGTATGTATGTGTTTGTGTCCGTCTGCGTCTGTGTGTGTGCGTGTGTATTTCCTATAAGAGAGAGAGAGAGAGAGGAAATAGAAATAAGAGTGATTTAAGAGTTATCGAGTAGGAGACACATGTGAGAAGCATACTTTTAAAGAAAAAAAAAATGTGTTTATTCATGTATCCATAACATATCCCTTTCTTTCGCTATATATATATGTAAATATATATATTCCAGATTTTACTTACTGTGATGTGTGAGCATCTTTTGATGATGTCTCTTTAACAACGTTGGGTAACTCTCGAATGGGCCCGCGTTGCTGAACGCCAAGCATTTCATCATCCACAACGCCTGCAGACGCCACTGCAGCCGCAGCCACAGTTGCATCTACATCTCTTTCTACTGTGAAGGAAGAAGGGAAAAGATGATTTGGTTCAGGTTCCAACACCTTTAACCCTCGCAATGCCTCTTTAATAGACTCTGGGGCACGTAAGAGAAATCCTGGTATCATCTCCCGTAGTAATTGATAAAGTGTTCGAGCCCGATAAAAGTCTCCAGCCACACGACATGACTGAAAGAGATAATTTAATGTTTCATAATCTATACTGTTACCACTGTAGAGTACACAGAGATCCACAATATTGAAAACACGACAATCCCCACGTCGACTAAGTACATCCATAAGTGGATGCATTAATTCCCGTGTAATGATAAGACCATGATATTTATGAGTGACTAGAATAGTATACGCCTGATTCAGTCGTTCTTCCACATGAGATTGGGCAAACGCCGTCACTACAAGACGATGCGCCTCTTGAAAATGAAATTGTGTGATCCGTCTAATTTCCTCTTCTTCTTCTCCTCCTCCTCCTTTTTCCTCCAATAATTCTTCTTCTTGTTGTATTGAATTATCCCTTGGACGAAGTTCTACAAGCGCCCGTAGTGATTGTAATAAATCATCATAAATGGTATTACTACTTTCTGGATCATCTATAAATAAATCTAGTAGTTGTACCTTTGCAGCTAGGAGTTCATACTCCACTGAGAGGTTAACAGGGCAACGATCTACGATATCAACAGCATCACGTAAAAAGATATCTGGTGAATCTGCCTGTAAACGCATCAAACGAAGTAATGCTAATGAGAGTAAAAGACGAATATCTGACTCATCCGCTTCTTCTAATCCTAATGAATTACCACTATTTGCATTTCGTTGAAGTGTAACATCTACTGCATCATTTACTTGTTGTAAATGCTGTAAACATGAAAAATCATCAACAGATTCATAATTCAACCAGAGACCTTTAACAGCAATACGAACTAACGGTAAATGGATCATATCATCTGGGAAACTCTTGTGTTGTTCAGCAAGAAAAAGTATTACCACTCGTGCCCCAACTGCATTTATTGGTAATACTTTAATTAAATGAATCGCTAACTCTTCAGCAAGTTTTTGCTGTTCCTTTTTCTTTTCTTCTTCTTTTTCTTGTTTTCCAGGCCGAAAAACAAGTTGAAAAAACCGTAACAGTGACCGTGTCACTGAACTAGACTCTGTTAATACCACAGTTGGGGCAATAAGCCGCAACGTACTCACAACGGCATCCATCACATCCTTCACTACTGATAGAGATATACTTTCATCACTACTACTCGCCTCATATGAACTGCAAAACGCATTTAATAAATTAGCCAAAGCACCACCATCACTACAAGGGGCACGTGCACTTAATGGAACCACCCCTCCTGTTAACAACAACGTCTCCCGCGTTGGTCGCAACAATATCCCACTATCCACAGGCCCTTCTTCTATATTTCCCCCTACTCCCCCTGATTCTATTCCTGTTCCACTCCTTTCCATGGAGAGTCTACGGTACTGTGATCTCTCTGCAGAGGTGTGAGAGGAATGACTATACCCATTCGATATCACTCCCGGATACGTCAGAACTGTATTCGCCTCCACATCACCGTAGGGCGCTAAATCTCGAATGAGTGTGGCCCACACACCAGCGGGCGGTGAACTCTTGGAATAATGAAGAAGTCGAAGGACGAGTGCCATTGCGGTGTCCGTCTCTCGGGCCTCACCAGCCGCCCCCGCCACAGCCACAACATCTTTCCACAAACTCCCATCATCCTCCTCTTTAGGTGGAGTGTGGATCTCTGTTCGTTTATATGGATAGAGAGTCTCTACGCGTAGAGCCAATTGGGAGAGACGGGCAGTGAGGGTAGAGCCGGCAGCGGGACAACGCAAAAAAGAAGTTAGCCGCATTAGAAGAAAGACTCACACACACACACACCGTGTCTTTCTAAAAAAGAGGAGAAACGAGAGATTTATACCGCTGGTAATAGCCTTAATAATAATAAATAATAAAAATAATAGTATATATATATACTATTTAACTCGTGCGGCTCTACCACCTTGCCCACGAGTAAATTTCCCTTCTTTCGGTTAGAGGATTAAAAATAAAAAGAAAACAGAAGAGAGCAAAAAAAAAAAAAAAACATACATACATACCAAGCAAAAAAAGATTAAAAAATAGATAGGAAAAGGAGGAAAAACCCCAAACAAACAAAAAAAACATCGCATAAAAGGTCCATTTTTTTTTTTTTTCTTATTCCAAACTTCTCATTCTTTTTCTGATGATTCTTTTTAAAAGTAATGTCATAATATCTCATCACCTCATGTCATTTCATCCAGAAATCAAGAGAGAAAAAAAAAAAAATGAAAAAGAAACGTCACCTCATTCCCTACGAACACACTTTGCACAGAAACACTCAAAATGTCGTTGCTGACAAAGAGCGCGTCTATCCTCGTATGATACACATGTTGTGAGGTTCGCGTTATAATTAATAAATAGCTGTTCCCCTTCTCGCACATCCCGCAATGTTACGAGTTTACGATTCAACGCACCAGAACCACTTCCACTAACTAATGCACAGTTCGGATCGCAGCTATGATTAAGAAATGAATAAGCATGATATAAGGCGGTACCACTAGGAAGTAGAAACTCATTCGTCTGCACAAGCGCAAAGAGAGAGAGAATCTCTTCCATATACAGATGTGTCTGATGTAGTGCAGCAGCAAGAGTTACCGCTAATGCCCCAACTTCACTAAGTGCAGTGGAAGCATCATAATCCGCTCGACCACGCAAAGAACATACACGCTGAAGTGCGAGAGGATGTCGCTGTTGTACTGTGGCCATCGCACACAATTTAGCTACAGCGAGACAACACAAAGCTGCTCGAGTCTCCTCACTATTATCTGCACGCAACTTCTCACGCATGGCTTCTTCCCATGAGGCATACATGGGATTACGGGTAGCACAACAACAGGAATGATATTCATTCCACGCCGCTTCTCGACAAGCAGCACTACAATATGTTTCTTTCCCACAATGTGTGCATGGCACACCTGTAGGATGTCCACTACTTTTACCAAGAACTGCCAAACAATGTGCACACGCCGTATCATTCATCCGTTGAACCACAAATGGTTGATCCGTCATCACAGTCGTACCAGAGGAAATACGTGTAGTGGCATACAGTCCTCTCCCATACACACTCTGTTTTGGGTGAAGTAACTCCACCAACGGCGTGTTACTTGTCCGCTGGGCCACAATACGCACAGCCTTTTGTGTTTCCTCTAGTGGTTCCGTCTCTTGCACAATAATTTGTTCTTCATTAATAGTCCCATCATAAGAAGCACTACTCGTATTCATACCGCTGTTGTTGGTATCATCAATGGATTGAGGTAATGCATGTGCCTTCTCTAACCATGATCGCAGAATCTCCCGCCTCGACTCATCTTTCACCAACAACAACACATCCTTCACATTCTTCCGCACACACAATCGCCGCTGCGCCTCTAGACACTTTGCCTCAAACGTCTCCTGTTGTGTATGGCGGGCAGCCACTTCGCCCAGCAGCAGTGCGGTGGGATCACTCGGCCTGCGGTTGAGTAGTCGGATGATGTAATCCGCCGCGATGGCGTAATTCCCACAACCCGCGAAGTGCCACGCCCGCTGGTGCATGAAGGCGTCCAACTCCCGCGCCGACTGGCGGGCCACCCACGCAGCGCGTAGTCTCACCATCCCACACTCTGAAAGATTGGGGGAGGAGGAGTTAGCAACTCATACATATAAAAAAAAAAAGAAAGAAAAGAAGAGGAAATAATGAAAAAAAAAGAAATGTTTATTTTTTCCCCTTTTTTTCTTCTTCTGAAAGATGAAGAGACGTAGAAATCAGAAACATAGAAATATATATATATTACCAAGAGATAAAGGCAACAAAAAACAAAGTATAAAGGAAACACAACTAAAACTCACACGCCACATCACTCCATTATATTATTACCCATAAAAGTAGAAAA